TGCCCAGCACCCAGGAGGTCAGTAAATGCTTGTTGAAGGGATGATTATGTATTGTCCTCTGAGCTTCTGGGGTCCAAAATACAGCCAAGAAAACTAGTATGTTGAAGCAGCCTACAGCTGCACCATTCAATAAGGTACCCACTAACCACGTGTGCCTATTTAAATGTACATTAATTTAAATTGATTAAAATTAAAAATTCAGTTCTTCAGTCTCACTAGGAACATTTTAAGTTCTCCATAGCCACATGTGGCTGATAGCTACCATTTTGGACAGCACAAATATTGAACGTTTTCTGCATTACAGGAAGTTGTATTAGACAGCCTGATAGAGTATCATTAGTAGAAGCAGAAGTTAGTGGCCCCAGTCCTTTTGAAGTGAGATTCCCACGTGACATGATGTGCACTCATACGACCAAAAGTAACCCTTTTAGATCTCTCCTCCAACACTGTAGGAACTCAGTCAGGAAAGGTGGGTGGCCCACAGAGGTGGCCATCTCTTTGGAACTGGTAGCCCGACAACAGTGGGACTGTTAGCCAGACTGACATTCCAATGGTCTACACTTATTTGGCTACACTAGTTGTTAGAATTGTGAAATATTTGTACCAGTTACTAAAGAGCTGCTGTTTCAAGCTCTTCCGGGACCTCCTTCCTATGCCCCAGAGGCCCTGGCTATTGGCCTAGGATGCCCCCAACCTCCCCTTAATCCAGCAAAATGAGTTGGTTAATGCATGGCCCATTCACAGGGATGGGAGGCTGCTTAAGGACCCTGCCCCAGCACTGCAGATTGGTTAAGTGCTGACCTTGGCCTCCAGGAGAGACTGCTTCCTAAGAGTTGTTGTTAAAGCTGCCCCGTCACTACCATGGCCAAGTCGCAGATCACAGAACCGTTAGTCTCAAGAAGCCTTTTAAAAGCATCTCACCCAATTCCCTCATTTTACTGAAGAAATCAAGTCCAGAGAGTCACTCAGCTACTTTGTGGCCATTTCAGATATAAAACTCTCCTAACTCAGTATTTTTTTTTTTTTTTTTTTTGCTCTGTCTTCCTGTCGTCAGTTTCCTTAACTGTGAAATGGGGATTTGTATCTTGATGCCCCACAAAGCTGTTAGTAAAAAGAATAATGATACCCATCATGTTATGTATGTCTTAAGAGTTTGCAAAATCTCTCTTGATTGCATTCACATTTGATCCTCACAGGAACCTGTGAAAGGTGTCGAGCTCAGAGGCAGTGAATGACCTGACCTTGATAGCAAAGCTCCTGTGAGCGGTCGTGGTCTGAGTCTCTTAGGGCTTAGGAAACTATAAACTCTCTTGTAAATGTAAGATAACATAACCACATGGCATTACTAGTTTTTAGCTTGTGGTATTTTGCAGTTCAAGTTTTAGTGACATTGAAAGTGTAATTTTGTTCAAGCAACGCTTTTTTTTTTTTTTTTACTTTGATAATGTGCCAATTGCACAGACTTTGGTTCAGCGTTAAAACAGAAGTGGGCTGCTTTAAAGTATATTTTTTAAATGAGAGAATCCAAATTTGTAATTAGCTTTAAAAATGCGAGTTTTGCAGTTTGAGTCGCTAAAGAGCTTCTGGTAATCATTTCTGTCATTAGGGGTGGTTTATTTTGTTTTTTTATTCCCCCCCTCCCCAAGTAATTAGGCCCTTTGGAAAATACAGAGTATGTTCTTTCTTTGAGGGTGAGTGGTCATTTCCTCTATCACCACCTTATTTTTCACACCCTATAGGCCTGGTGTACTGAAAAATTAACCATATATCCAATTGTGGCAAAGAAAAATCACTTAGAAGCCATTCCACCCACTTGACACCTAATTATCAGGAGAATGCTATTTTAAGTATAAAGAGAAGCCACAGTGGAGGAAATGGTCCACTTCTTGGTCTTTTGATAGATTTAATAGCAACACCCCTTAGTTTTAGAGAAGATTTGTTGAGAAGATAAATTTAACTCACTCCCCAAATAAAAATAATTTTCCCCCTCTCTTTTTCTCTCTGTGAACTGCTGCCATCTTATAGTATATACCAAACTATGCAGAAACTGAGTATCTAGATAAGGGAAAGAGTGGGGTTATTTCATTCCCTATAACAAAAAAATCTCTCTTCGATTTTCTTTTATTAGTGTATGAAAATTGTGACCTTCTCTACATCAACTATCCTGTAAGGTTAAATATGTAAAGGGAAGAGAGAAAGAAAATTTATTAGAAAAAGCTATAAATGGAACGGAACTTGGGCTTGTTAAACCTTGACTTAGCATGACTAATTTGTAGCCACATTTGGGAAGAATGTGTTCATATGTTTGGTTGTTTTTAAAGTATATATTATGTATGTGTCCTCATTCTTCTCCGTGTATACCCTGTTTTGTGTTAGATATAAGACTCTCAACTCTCCATTGTATTCTGAGATACAACCTCCCTCCTGTCCATATAGGACCTTCGAAGTGTTTACAATTATCTAGAATTTTCTTGGATTTTATTTATGCCATTTTCCCTGCTTCATGAAGATACTGTTGGAGGCGCTGACAAAAAAAAAAAAAAAGCGTCAGGGTAACATTTGTGATTTATAGCCAAACTTAGAGTCACTGAATCTTAGGATTATCTTGGAGTCGTTCAAGACACTAGGCTTGAAGAGATCTTTGAGATTGCAAACCTTTAATTCCTCCAGACTTACTAAGGTAGAAAGAGGATTGATGAGCAAGCACGTACTTTCGAACTTCAGCGCCACCAGTTTCTGTACCCATGCACTCAGCATTACATGAGATAATGCACGCAGGGCACCGGCACCAGAGTTGACACATCGTAATAAGCACTCGGGAGGGTTAGCCATTATTATGGGCTTGTCTGATTTGGTCTTCACATCTCTTTCTGCTCTCTGATGGCCATGCTGAGGAGCAGCTTAATGTCCAAAAAATAGGAAAACACCAAATGGAAGGGAAACACAAGGCCTCAGTCTTCCAGAAACAGAATTTATCAGCGCACAAATAAAAATGATTGTTTCTCTTCTCACGATGATGTGCGGATTACTTCCATACTCTCCCTCACCCTTTTCCAAGTGAGGACCCTACGGACAAGGGGCAACTCCTCCCTTGCCCAGATCTGACTCAGTCTGGCCTAATGAGGGCAACTTGATGGTACACTTACCTTATTCCCGTTTCTCTTTTATGTGAAAACAGTGAGCTCTTCACTGTCTTCTGCGTAAGAAGAACAAAAATACAATCTATGTTTGGTTGTCCCTGATTAGAACTTTGTTAAGATGTGTGATGGGCAAGTGTATTTTTTCTGTGTCTACGATAAAGTAGGTAGTTAAATAAATTAACCAAACACTCATGCTGTGGCAGGAGTGTAAATTGGTACAGCTTTTCTGAAAAGTCATCAAGACCCTTAAAGCTCATTTGACCCCGTAATTCCTTTTCTAGGAATCTACCTAGGAAAATACTCAGAAATTCAAACAATCTGATATTCAGATATGTCTTTCAGAGTGTTATTTGCAATAACAAAAAAAAAAAGGAAACAATACGTAATTCCAAAAATGAGAGAAATAATGAAATAAACAAAACCCTTTTCTACAGCGTGTAATATTACATAGGCATTGAAAAGCATGTTTCTGAAGAATTTTTAATAATTTGGGAAAATGCTCACATTCATAAAATATTGAATTAAAAAGTAGAAACAAAACTCTGACTGTTTTTGTGTATCTGAAAAGAATACTGATCCACAACCCCTTATCCCCAATTCTGAATCCTTTTGGTTCAAAATCACGAAGGTCTCTTGGTGACTTCTTTGGTAGAAAAGTCTGATCTGAACTAATGTGAGGCTCTATTTTATCTGACTAAATAAGAATATGCATCTATTTTGCTGCAGAGATTTTTAATAGGTTTGATTATGGGGTGCTGCTCCAGATTCCGATGGGACATCATGTAATAAATGGTAGTTTAGCATTGTAATACTCTTTAATATCCAAGCAGTTCTGAACTCTGAAGTGTATCTGGCCCAGGAGTTTCATTTAAGGGGTCGTGGACCTATACAACAAAATATCATGAATGATTTATCAGTGTCAAGGTTACAGTTGATGTTTATTTTTTCTTTATTTTTTTCTGTAAATTTTTCAGATGTTCTATAATAAGCATGGATTAATTTATCCTCAGGAAAAAATAAGTACTATTAATTTCTTTAAAAACATGTTAAAGGCATCAGAGAATCATCTCATTTCAATCAGAATTCTCAAATTTATCATTTGCTTCCTGTATCTTCTTGTTAATACAACCATGTGGTTTTTTTTAATATATATATTTATTTATTTATTTTTGGCAGTGTTGGGTCTTCGTTGATGCGTGGGGGGCTTTCTCTAGTTGTGGTGAGAGGGGCTACTCTTCGTTGTGGTGCGCAGGCTTCTCATCGTGGTGGCTTCTATTGTTGCGGAGCACGAACTCTGGGTGCACGGGCTTCAGTAGTTGCAGTGCGTGAGCTCGGTAGTTGCAGCACTCGGGCTCTAGGGCACGTGGGCTTCAGTAGTTGTGGCACGTGGGCTCAGTAGTTGTGGTGCATGGGCTTAGTTGCTCCACGGCATGTGGGATCTTCCCGGACCAGGGCTCAGACCCGTGTCTCCTGCATTGGCAGGCAGATTCTTAACCACTGCGCCACCAGGGAAGTCCCGCACGTGTGTCTTTTGAATCAAGGTGTTGTGATTTGTTGAAAGAAAACGTTCATGAGATGAAATAGAGAGATAACTGATTGGACATTGACCTATGTCCAAGCTGCCTTGGGGTTCAGGAGAGCACCTGGTGAGGGATGTGCTTCCCCTTGGCGTGAGCCCCAGCATTGATACCTGGATTATTTTATCGTATTCTGTTTAGGTGGACTGGTCCAGAGGCGCACAGTAAGTTAGAGGTCATGGAAGCCGGGGAAGGGATGGGGTATAGCGGGATAGCAGGGGAAAGGGGATAACGTTAACATGCAAGGTTTCCTCTGCTAATGGACTGTCTTCTTCCCCATCAGGTGGACACTCGCTGACCTGTCACAAGGTTGCCCCACAGAGCTTTGGGGTCCATGTCTGAATGGATTGCCGTAGCCTTCTCTTCTCTCCCTTCGCCCAGTTCCCTGCATCCTAAGACTTGAAGCCAGCACGGGACCTGGAAAAATTACATGTAAGTTTTGACTAAGGTTTCTTTCCTCCAACCAAAGAAGGCTAAGAATTTTCTGAGATGATAATAACAAGGTGTCTTGAGAATTATAATTGAGGAAGGGAACGGGGTTAGAATCTGCATATTGGTGGTTCTCTAACTCAGTGGATCTTACACATAAGCTTGCTTCAGAGTCACCTGGAGGGCTTGTTAAAGTCCAGCGTGCTGGGCCTCGTGCCCAGACTACCGGATTCAGGAGACGTGGGGTTGGGGTGTAGGTCTGGCAATTGGCTTTTCTAACAAGTTTCCAGGCAATGCTGATGCAGTTGGTCCAGGAACCTCACTTCGAGAATCACTGCTTTAACTCAAGTGTGACTGAAAGGAGGAATGATAAAGGTAGAAAAGTGTATGAAACTTCACTAAATTAAGATACTTGTGCTTTACTTAATACATGGACTCATCTCTCAGAAGAGAGAATGTTAAGGTCTTCTCAGCACTGTCATCTTTGAAAGTCCAGCCAAGTAGATGTCATTATTCTGTGCCAGCTCGACTCCAGAGGCGCGAGTACCAGCCACTCTTTGCCCTTGGCTTTCAACAGGGTTGACTAACAGTGCCGTTAACAGGCTAAAATGACAACTACAGTCCTTTTGCAGGTGTCCTCATCATACTTTTAGATACACTCAAAAGAGAAAATCCTTTTCCCCCTAGACTGGGAAATATATTGCTCCCTTTCAAAGTGAATCATCCCAGTGTGATCCTTCCTCTCATACACTTAAATGTGACTTGTTTTACAAATCACATACGGGAAGGAAGGTGCACCTCTAATAAACAATCCAAGCCAGCAAGTCCAGGGTTTTGTGGGGTTTTAAGTTCTTAGGACTGACATATTTGGAAGATCAGCATGTTACCGCGTTAGCTTTGGAACAAGCCGGTCACCTCTCTGCCGAGGACAAGAACAATTTATTCCATGTTAATAGAATAAAGTAGAAGAGTTTGTCTCAACAAATGCACACTAGGGTATATGGGAGTGTACATGCAAATGTACAGATGTGCCTGTGAACCTATATGCATTTTGTATATTTCTAAGCTTTCAATGTAGGAGTTTTACACAACATGTTTTCCTTTGTTTCATTGAGTCAATGTGAGTGTAAAAATAGTCTGAGTGATGCTGTCCAGGAAATGTTTGAGAAATTTCTGGGCATTTTGAATCTGTGGTTAAGCATTGTGATTTATAACATTATACTTCAATGTGGTAAATGTTATCATTCAAAGTAGCACTAAGGGCTTACAGTTCTTTTATTATAACTCTCTGAAGTTGAGAATAATCACCTTTAATAAAACAACTCCCAAGGAGATATGTAATGAAGGAGCATTATCTATTGCCTAAACGTTAACAGAGCCCCAAATCCCGGAGATAGATTTAAGTGCATGTGTTTAAAATAAAAATCACAACATCAGACAAATAAGACCCAAAAAGCAAGAGGTGATGAAAGAGTTCTAAAAGGAATTAATCCGGAGCTGTCTTCTGAGAGCTGCCCAAAGGACTGGTAACAGGGTTGGTATTAGGGCTGACAGAGTTGTGAGCGATGTAATTACCTATTATCACTCTACCCTTACCAACTGTAACATCTCCTTCAAGCGCTAATTGGCTATTCCGTACAGCATTCTGGGAAGTTTCAGTTTATGAAGCATCTTCACCAAGAAGTAAAAGAAATGGGTTGGATCGAAGGCTCCTTCATCTCCCCCCTGCTCTCCTGCTTTGGCATCTGTGAGTGTCCACGTTTACACTGCAGGTTCTCCTGATAGATGACCTTTGATGTCAGTCAGTTTAATAACTACGAGCCAGTACGGGTAGAAGGCTGCTGTGACACCTCAGGCAACTTGGAGCTGCAGACTCCTGCCGGCCCTGGCGCCACCTGCCTGAAGCTCTCCCTGCAGCCTTGGGTGAAACACTCAAGGCACCAGGTGCCTAGCGCAGCTCTATAAAAACATCATGCATGTGGGACCCCACGGTGCTTTCCCTGCAGTTTTGCAGTCAACCTGAAACTGCACTAAAACATTAAGTTTATTAATTTAAAAAAACCGAATACCAAACGGTATGATGATTCCTCAAAAATTTAAACACAGAACGACCATGTGATCCAGCAGTTCCACTTTTGGGTATAAAAGAAGTGAAAGCAGGGTCTTGAACAGGTGTTTGTACACTCATGTTCATACAGCATTATTCACAATAGCCCAAAGGTGGAAGCAACTCAAGTTTCTATCAGCAGTGAATGAATAAAGAAAATGTGGTATATACATACAATGGAATATTATTCCATCTTAAAAATATGAAATTCTGACACATGCTCCAACATGGATGAAACATGGAGATACCAAGTGAAATAAGCCAGACACAAAATGACAAATATTCTATGATCCCACTTATATGAGGTCCCTAGACTAGTCAAAGTCATAGTCAGAAAGTATTTAGAAGGGTGGTTGCCAGGCGCTGGGAATAAAGGGGAAAGGGAATTTAGTATTTAATGGGTACAGAGTTTCACTTTGGGAAGATGGAAAATTTCTGGAGATGGATGGTGATGATAGTTACACAATAATGTGAATGTACTTAATGCAACTGACCTGTACTCTTAAAAATGATTTACGTGGTAAATGTTATGTTATGTGTATTTTACCACACACACAAAACCCCCCCTGAATACCAGAGCTTACTTTCCATCTAAGAATACTGGGCAGAATACTAAGTAGTGCTTGACAGGGATGCTGTAGTTTGGGAGGACGGAAGAAGCACACATGGCTGTGTCCCTCACACCTCCATCAGCCCTGACACTACCCTGGCCCTCTTTGGGCAAATGTAAGGGACCTGCAGAATGTTAGACTTAAGTCTTAGGAATAGGTTTCCTACCGGGACAAGGACATATTTGTCAGAAACCACTAGGGAAATTTGTGTGATGATCATCAGTGATCATCATCTCTTTCAAAATGCCATTTACACACGCAGGAAAGCTGCTTCACTGTGACGGAGGGGACGTGTACCCTCCTGTGCTCCTGTCATGGGGCTGCTGCAGTTCATGTGAATTGTGTCATCATAAATGAGTCCGTGTACTGCGCCCCGGGATGTGTGCCTAGTGGCGGCAGGTGACAGGTCTTAGCAGTGGAGGCGGATGTGGAAGCAGGAACCAGGGGATATAGACTTGCCACAGACTGAAGCCTAGTAGAAAATGGAAACTTGGAAAGAAAATTAGTAGCAAATAGTTCTCCTGCAACAGGGCTTCTAATTATAATGCCTGTTTGACATTCTCCCAATGAAGTACAGTTCATCCTCCATCACCAAATCTCTGTAATGTTGGGCATTATGGTACCCATAAATCACGAAACAATTGTATGAGTGACCTGCAGGCCTGTGAGAAACATGCAGGATTGAACCCACTAAGTCCATTTGGGTCCTATTTGGGGGGGGGTGGATTTTGCTTCTTATTCTAGGTTTCTAGAAAGCTGGCCTTGCAGGATGATCAGTGAATTCTCACGGGGCTAGTAGCCATGTTTCCCTCAGGTCTCCTTTACTTTACTACTTTACTATTTTACTTTACTCCTTTCAGGCCTTGCCCTTAGGTCTGACCAGGGATTGTAATTCCTGAAGAGCGGTGCATAAGGATCTATAGTTTCAAAGAGCTCAGAAACCTCTGTCCTAAAGTATCCCACTTCCTCCTTAAGACATCAGAATCGCTTAGATGTGTGAACGTGCTTGTGTGTGCACTATATACATATACACACATACATACATGCGTGTGTATGCGCTTGGCTCGAGGAAAAGGTATAACCAAAAAAGCAGTGAAATAAAGTCATCAAAGTTGAAGTACAATACATAGAAATCAGTTGCTCATTCCCACCCCCGACTTCCCAGACCTGCTTAGAAATAAACTCTCCATGCTTTTCACTTAGGTGATGGACAACAGGGCGTAGCAGCAAAGGTTTTGGAGTCACTTGCCATAGGGAGCTGCTAAAATATCAAAAAACTGGAATTAAAGGTTTTTATAGAAAAGAAAATCCAGGTGAGCAAGGTCTAAGAGAGAGGAGAAGTAGGTGCTTATTCATCTTTGACATCACACGTAGCTACCGGCACCCTGAGCGTGAGTTGAAACGACATGGATATAGACTCTGATCAAAACCAATTCGGCCCCAGGAGTTTGGAGACCATGATTTTTGGATGGACACCCTGACACAGATTCCCCGCAACAGTCACCCAGAGGAAAAGACATGAGGTAGAGAAAACCAACAAAGACCGACCCTCGGGGGCTCTCCTGGTCAGCTCTCATGGCCCCAAGAATCAGATGTGCCTGGTTACAGGCACTGACTTCGTATTTAGCGATGGCGCAGCTACCTGGGACCCGAGTAACCAGAACCCTGAATTAACTAGCCTTCATGCTTCCTACCCACCCCCTCCCATACCCCACCCTACCGCTCACATCCCACTTCCCTTTTTCAGTGATAAAGATTCAGAAAATAAGGTAGCTTTGGTTTAGTAAAGGTAGAGAATATACCCTGGAGGATATCTGTAGTTGGTGACACTGACCTGCTGAATCACTGCGAATGGTTAAATCCTTTATAATTAGGAAAAGAAACTGCTTTAGAAACGTTTTCAACAAAAGGCATTTTCTGTCTGTCAATTCACCAAAAAACTGAAACAAACCAAAAACTCATCTTGTCTTCAAATAGTCTAATCAACTGAGGTTTTATTTTTCCTATTTTTGTGTCTTAATAATAATCTAAAAATGTTGACTTAGAATAGAAAAATATAAAATTCATTTTTATTCTTGAGAAACCATGCAAGTTTTGGCTTTTACCACCTTTCCAGTGCCAGAGTTTAAATCTCAGATATTCTGTTTACCTTTATTCTGTTTATTATGTTTGGAAGCGCTCTAAGAGTTGTGATGTTAACGATAAGATTGGTAATAAAATAATTTCATGAACATATGTATTTAGTTCTTATTGTCGTTGGGGAACCATTGGCATACTTTTGAAGC